ATTAAAATGCAATCTGAAATAAGAAAAATTTCATTTTATAAAGTATAAGATGAACTACAATATTTTTTATTTTTATATTTTGGTTAAACTATCAACTAGCAAAACTAGAAGCAAGTGACGGTGCAAGATAAATTTTCTTTAATATAATTTTTCTTTATTTTTCAATTTTTTATAAAAAAATTACCCTTTCAATGAAGCCTTTTTTTCCCTATGATATTCATCACCTTCATATACACTAGGCACTATACTCTGTTACATATTTATTATAGGGTACCTCTCTCATCTCACTAGAATGTATGTCCTGTCAAGTATCAGATTTTATAAGCTGCATTCACAGGATGTATTCCAACTTCCTACTGAAGTTTTAAGCACATACTAGCCCTGTAAACGTTTACTGTGTAAGTTGAATAAGGGGAGATTCTTATGATGCATACTGATTTGATAGGAAGAGATTTTCTTTCAAGTGATTAAAAAATTTCGCTCCTCAGTTTTGAAATACACATAGTTTAAAAAATCATATGGGCTATTCTCAAGCATTCATATTCACTTAAAACTGAATATGAAATGGCTACTTTCAATACTCCAGTGCACAGGCACCATCATCCAGACATTTGAGTACATTTGTATTCATTCAGTCACACATCTCTTGTACATTTTGTTAGTTCATGCTAACTTTTTTTGAGTATAAATAGGTAAATTGGAGAAATACAAGCAAAGCAGAGAAGGGGAATGAGCTATTTCAAGAGACAGCAAACAGAAGGCATTAGAGAAAAGGGAAGGCAACAATGGAGAGGCTTTGGTCTTTGGGGTGGATGAAAAAGATAAGAACTAATTGCTAAAGAATTTGATGCAGTTTCTTCCCTTCCTTCCTTCCTTCCTTCCTTCCTTCCTTCCTTCCTTTCCTTCCTTCTTTGAGACAAGGCAATTCTATGAAGTTCATGCTGAGTTTGAGCTCACTGTGTAGCCCAGAGTGGCCTCAATCTCCTGGATATCCTTCTGCCTCAGCCACCTGAGTGCTGGGATTACAGGCATGCACTACCATGAAAGTTGGAAGTTTTTATTTAAAACAAAATGAATAAAAAGTATTCTGACTGGTACCCAAGGCCTAGCTGACATTAAACACTGTGCTTTGGAGTAAATCCAGTTGATAGAATTACTTGAATTTCTCCAATAATGTGCAGCAACCTAGAAGTATAGAAATGAAAGGTTGAGGGGCTGGGGATTTAGCCCAGCGGCATAAGCGCCTGCCTTGCAAGCAGGCAGTCGTGAGTTCGATCCCTGGTACCGATGAAAAGGAAAAAGACAAAAAATAAAAAAAAAAAAAGAAATGAAAGGTTGTAATAACCCAAGATTAGGAAGTGGAACAGGGAGAAATTCATTTGCAATGAAAGAAAGAGAAAAATATTATTCAGGTTCGACTCCACTAAAATGCAGGCCAGATTTATAAATTCACGTGTTTTCCATCTCATGACCATCCAAAGTACATCATATACTGATTTTTGCTGATGATTTAGCTAATATTGGCCAAAAATATTTTCTGACTGAATAAAAGTCTTAGGCAAGATGATGGTAGGATTGCCAAATAAGCTGATATTTCAATCAGTAAAACTCTACCTATGAAACTTAACATTTTTAACAAAAACTTCGGGAGCCAATACTCTTATAGGACTGAAAACTTCCTGGGCTATTCCCACTGAGAGCTGAGGGGTCAATGACTTTTTGTACCATGTAAAACTCTTCTCTTATCCACAAATTTGTTGGTAAAAACAACAACAAAACAAAAATAAAATCTCAAGCACATTTGTTTAATAAACTTATTCAAAAAATATTCCATATGTTTTTGCTACATGACAAATAGTGTCTTAGGATGGGGACTGGCAAAAAGCTAAATTGTGCCAAGCAGTTTTTCCCTCCTAGAAATCAGAGCCAATAGATAATAAGCTGGTGAGGCATTTCATGCAGAAGCTGGAGCTGAAACAGCATCATGTGCAGTGGGCCACTGGATCATGACAGCCATGTACTAGTCAAAAGTTCAGAGGAGGAACAAACAACAAGCTTGATCTGGAGAGACTAACATCTGGGCAGGAATTTAGATTCTCCAGAAGGAGAAATTATAGGGCCCCAAAAAGAGAGAGTGAAAGTCCTCTCATCAAGATTGTCCTTCTGGCTCTCTCTGTCACAATACCAAGGTCTATTCCTGTATAGAACACAACAGACTCCATTTTCTTAACGTAGACTCAGTAAGCCTCTGGTTCTCCATTAAGAGGAGCCCAAGGACAAAATGAAACATGAGCAATAATTTCACTGTGCATTTTAAATAAAGTTATATAGCCCTCTCCAGCACATTTACATACTAAAGTTGACATTTAGTACATATCTGCACTTAGGATGCATGAAGCTAGTTGCTTTATTTTTGTTTCCACATTCTTTTTTTAATGTGAAATGAGTAAAGAGTAAGGCAGAAAATGCAAGCTTTCTGTAGGAAAACTGTCACTGCAATTCCTGTATTTCAAGTTCTAGGGGGGAGGCAGACAGTGTGAACAGTCAGTTTGTGACTATAAAATTAAGATATCCAAGTTTTGGTTCTAGCACAAACCATGTGACTTTGTCTACAACACTGACATCCTTCAAATGTTAGCTGATATTAATAGAAGAATTATAAAAGTTTTTCACTGTTGGGTGTGTTGTAGATATAAAGTATTGTGCAGCAACTTCTACCAGCTTACGATAAGTAGCTGAGACCCTTCATTCCCGTGTATGACTTGCTGATGATCCCAAATCTGGTATTTGTTATTTTTCAGATTCCTTTTGAAAAAACTGGTCCCTATCCATCTTTCCTTCTTGATGTCCCAAGGTGAATGCTTTCATTTCTTTTTTCTTAAGGAACTTTAATCAGTCATTCTTTTAGTTCAGGTCTCTTGGCAATAAATTATTTTCAGTTTTCCTCAGTTAAGAAGGTCTTGGTTTTCTGTCATGCCTGAAGAAATAGGATTCTTCCATGCCTTTTTTTTCCTTCTTCCTTTCAGCACTTAAAAAATGTGTTTCCTCGTCCTCCTGGACTCCAAAGTTGCTGATGAGATTTCCATGGTTAATAGAATCATTGTTGTTTATGTAAACTATCATTTTTCTTTTGCTGCTTTCAAAATTTCCTTTCAGTTTTCAGCAGTTTGATTCTAAATGCATTTTGATATGGATTTCTTTGGGTCTATCCTGTTTAAGGTTCTCTTGATTTCTAGAAGGTATAGGTTTTTGTCTTTTAAAAAATGATGACATTTTCAATCACTATTTCCTTTTCATCTCTACTCTCTTTCACAAGTCTTCTGAGGCTCAGTTAATTTGAATGCTATGTTTTCCTTGTAGTCTCCACATTCCCTGAGGCTCTGTTCACTCTATTTTCCTAGTGTTCAGACTGGTTAATTTCTATTGTTCTATTTTCTAGTTCACTGATTCTTTCTTCCCTTCTTTCCAATCTGCTGTTTATCACAACAACTGAGTTTTGCATTTCAGTTACTGAATTTTGTAGTCCTAAAATTTCCACTTAATCTTTAAATGTTCTCTTTTTTGTTTAACAGTTCTTAAAACAAAAATTAGTTTTAAGCTTGTGTGCAATTAGTTATAAATGCAATTCTACCATTGACCCTTGCAAATGTTAGTCAGATTGCTGTCATTTTGCAGTCATTTTGGTATTGGTAACTATTGATTTGAATTGCGGATCTACCTGTATAAAATTTTTGATTGATGTTTTGACACATGGCATATTAAAAGATTCTTGATCTCATCTAAAGTTACCTTTTAGCTGGCTTTCCTTGACATTACTTTTCAGAGGAAGGAAGGATACTGCCTCATGGCAGTGATCATGCATTGAGCTTATCCTTGATATTATTTTATTTTATTTTTCAATGGACTTTTTACTATTATTAGATTTTCTCATATAGTATGCATTTGTCATTGAGGCAGAGAATTAAGGCCCAGAATTCCCTAAAAGTTACTTTTAAATTTCAATTTTCTTTTTCTTTCATCTTTCACAGGTTGGAAGCCCCCAACTGCCTTGTGGCTGACCATGTGAATTTGCTGGGAGATATTGCTTGTCTGGCAGCACAACTGAATGGCAGCTCCATACTAGATGACTCCATCCAATGACTCACTGGATGACTTTGCCCCTCTGCAGCTGTCTTCAATCAGGTCCATGTATAACCTTGCCCAAACCATGACCAAACACAAAACTCTATGATTGTCTAGCAGAATGCTGTGCATGAGCATGTCATTTTTCCCCACATAAATAACTTTACCTATACCCTTAAGGGTCAGTGTATACACTGTTCCTCTATACGACAGTGTATTTTGATGGTACATTTTGCCTGTTCATGACTTGTGTCTTGAATAGAGCAAGCTGAATTGGTATACTGAGAGCTAGTGATAACCAGCACTGCTGTCATAGAAAAAAAGCCAGCAACCAGGTCTGGTAACACTGAGGGTATCCAAAAACCAACATAAGCAGAGAGAAAATTGAGAGTTTCCTTGGAGCTGCCATCCCTGGGAATGTTCTTGAGGTGTGCCAGTATCTTCTGCTTCCAAGAGGTGACAGAGTACAGTAATATGCACCCACTTTTATAGTACTACTAAGAGCCTGTAGCCCTGACATTCAAAATTTAAGACTGCTAGCATTAAGAGCTACACTTTGCCTATTTTTGTTTGCTACCCAAACTGAGGAAAAGAACATCCAACTGGTAATAGTATCTGTTGTCATTTATGTTAGAGACAGATGTATAAATGAGTATTTAAAAAAAAAAAAACAAAGAATGCTTGTAGGCTCCCTCTAAAATTCAACATGTCAGGAAATGAAGTTTAGATTTATTCTTAAGTCACAAGAGAAAAGTAACACATTCTGCCACTTTAATTTTGCACTATAACCTTCTATAAAGTAATATAATTTTGTCATATAATATATAATGCATAAGTGAGATGGATAGCATTTAAAAGGCAAGCATAACAAGTACTACCTGAAGGACTGAAGCTCCACCATGGAGAAACTGAAGTCCACTTTCAGCTGAGTCAATTCCACCAGTGGCCAAAATGGGAAATCCAGGCAAAGCTCGGGCAATAGAGGTTACAGCTCTCAAAGCAATAGGCCTGATTGTTGTTCCTACAGAAAATGAGGGTAATCAATTTTTAGTATATGGAACACTGGAAATACTGCCTTATATTTATCATTATGTAGTGGCAATATTGTAATGGAGAGATTCACATTTTCTGATCTGTACTAGCATACACAGACATCATATATAAATGTTATGTTTTAAAGTCAGATAATTTGTCAATGAAATGTATTTATTTTAAGAACTTTGATGGTATTGTTGAATACTAAGAAGTTACACAGTGGGTATAGTAAACCAAGAAGTCTTGCATAAAATTTATTCAAATTACGTCTTGATATACAGTAATGTGTAACCATCATATGGAACATTCAAGAATCTGTCTCTTAAAAGGGCAAGAAACAGAAGATTTGGAAAAAGAAAAAAACAATCATATATAGTACATAAATAGACACACAACACTGTTATGTTTTCGCAAAGTATAAAGCAACTGCTGTGAATATAGATACTGTAAAAAAAAACAAGCAAGGTCTGATTAATTTACAGATTTCATATTGCTTTATACATGTATTCCTATAATTTCAAAAAAGCCTAATGGAATTTTTCACATATTAAAAATTTTAATAATAGTTAAAGAAAATTTAAAGTGAAAGAAAATTTCTAGAATCAAGTAGTTCTCTCTCTTTCTCTCTCTCCCTCTCTTTCTTTCTCCCTTTCCTTATGTATACATATTTAATTAGCCAGACATTACCAGTACATTCTTTCCAAATCTCTTGAAAATCACATAGATGGATAGAACACTGGTAGTATTCAGCACAGACATACTGTACAAAAGCTACCTTGGAGACTGAGAGTGCTAAACATCCAGGAACAAGTTAATGATGTTATAATAGTAATATAAGTTGATTTTTCTATTGTCAATTCAAAAGTCAATTTGTTAAAGGCATATTTTAAACTAAAGACAGCTCTACTTATACAAGAATTTGACATTATCATATGTCAGGACCCAACAAAAAACACAATATGCATCTGGTCCCGCCCTGTGTAGTATTTTGCCATCATTTCCACAAGACAATCAGCATTATTAATAGTATCTATTTAAACTCTCATTTCCAGAAAACACATAGAGTTATTAGACAGTATGTATCTTGAGATTCATAGATTTTATCCTGAAAGAGATGCATCCTATAAAGTCCCAATTACAATATTATATCCTAGAAAAAGCAAAACTATAGAGATAGTATGGAGGTCAATGGTTGAGAGAATAGGGAATGAGTAGGCAGAGCAGAGGAGATTTTCAGGACAGTTAAAGTACTATGCAAAACTATAAAAGTAATGTACATTGTTGAACATCTGTCTTAATTTACAGAATGTACAACACTCAGAGTGAAATCTGGCAAAAGTGGCCTTTAGGTGATAATATGTCAATTTAGGCTGTTCGGTTTTAACAAATATATTACTTTGGAGAAGTATGTTCATAATGAGAGAGGCTATGTTCTCCAGGGCAGCTGGTGAACAGAAAAGTTTTATACTTTCCCCTTCGTTTTTTTGTGAACCTATGACTTCTCTAAAGAGACACATTTTTTAAAAAGGATCTCAGTGCCATTAATTTTAATCCTGTCCATATCCACTTTACATAGAACAAGAAGCATGCATAACTGATGCTTCTGAACTCAACACAAAAATGTTTGTGGAAACGTCTGCTTGTTGCTCTCAAATTAACAACAACAACAAAAAAAACCTTCTATTTATTAGTATTTCTTTATCAAGAATATTCAATGCTGACATATTAGAATTCAAGGTATTAAGTTAAAACAAATTAAAAACTGGACATCAAGACTTTATTTTTATACAAAACTATTTGCCAATGATTTCTTTGTAGTTTTTATATTTGAATGATAAAAAGGCAAACATATGCACATACATTAAAAGAAATCTAAATGAGGATAAAATTTAGAGAAAAAATATTTTTATAGAAATCTACAGTTTAAACCTTCTGACAGAGATATACCTATCTCCTCCCAGTATAACTGCCATATTCGACACATACTAAGCTAATGGATTTTTTATATACATGTTGCTTTGAAGTAATAAAGAAATATTGGAATCCCCCTCCCTTATTTAGTTGGCCCAAGAGACTAAAGAAAATTTGAACTAAGCAGATAAATAATTTATTTCTAACTGCACTGTTAGAAGACTATCATTAACACTAAGGGGTAAAATTTCAAAGTGGTATACAGGGATTTGGCTGCATACTCCAATTGATATTAATGGACATCAAATGGCAAAATCCCAGGACACAGCTTTGAACATTTAACCAGTTATATTTAAAGGGCAACATTATTACACAGGTGTTAAAAACATCAGCAAATCTTCACTGGCATTTAAGGATGTTCAATTAGGTCAATACGACATTTTCTATCCTGTGTTTTTCTTCCTTTATGAAACTTTTCTAATTTACCTAATGAACATAAAAACCTTTCAAACTAATAAAGGAATCTTTTAAAAAATTAAGCATAATTATGGTTTCTGAGGAAATGTGATCCAAAATGAAGAAATGTCTCCTTCTGTTGCTGGGCAAGAGTAGATTTTTAAAGTAAGATTTTATATCCACTATAAACTTCATTTGATTTTTTAAATAACTCAAGAGATTTAATATGACACATCCTTTACCTGTTCTCTGAATGTTTATGGGGAAATAGACTTTATAAATGACTCATTTACCAAGAAAAGCTTCATGAAACCAAAGGTATATAAAAAGATCTTTAAAAATTGTAATACAGAAATTTCTTTTTAGGTTTAAGATTACAGAAACAATAGGTTGAATAAGTGATAAAATCTTTAGTTTGAACAAAGTATATATGACAGTATAATACAGATTTGTACATATGGCAGTTAGATTGCAGAAAGACTCCCAAAATCACAGCAATCGAAGGCTAGGGAGATGCCAGCCCAAAATATTTAAGAAATGTAAATTTAGGCTCCTACTTAGGTAAAGAACAAGTTTTAAATCACAAAATTGAAATCCTACAAGCTTAAATGAACTAATAGTTATTGTGCAATTTAATCTTTCATCTGCGTGGGAAGAGGGGTAGGTGAATCTGTTAGTGAATTTAGTTACGTCAAAACATTCTGCTTCAACTGGGTAAAATCCCCAATAAAAAATCAAGACATTTTAGGTCCCACCTTTTGAAACCTCAGTTCAAACTATGAACTGAAACTTTGAGTTGCAGCATTGTTGCTGCCATGAACTGTAATTCAAAATAATATGGCTTTCATGGAGTAGGTGATGGACTAGATGGAACTAGAACTTTTGGTCTATAATCAAGTTGGGCCCTTCAAATAGTCAAAATTTAAAAATCAAATCAGCGTATCATAGATCTTAATAAACTGTATATAACTCTTTGGATTCATTCATGCTTTAGAAAAACATTTTACTAAGCCAAAGATTTTGAAATGTTAATCATTCTGATTTTGATGAAACCATTTTTCCCCTAAGAAAATTACACTATCTTTAAAAAATATCATTTTAAAAAATTTTCAAAATGTTACCACTGGCTATTACATGAATTGACATGTATGTATGAATGTAACATGATGGAATTTGGTTTCTTAACTCTACTTTCACTTCTCCTTGTATGTTCACATGTCTGTCCACAATATATTTATTAAGTACCTAAATCTTTATTTTTCTTACTAGTCGGTTTATGTCCTAACCATATATTAAGGATGCATACTCCAAACATCAGCCTTCATGATCTTAATAGGTTGTCTCAACGTAAATTATTTGAGTCCAGTTATTTATTGTGTACTAGTACTCCACTGGAAACAGTGCATATTTGTTTCAATATTATGATTTCTAATAAGAAAGCAAACAAGCAGACAAAATGACTTATAGGTAACACAGCAATGTCATAGAATTATTCTGAGGGTTATATGATTTAATGTATTTCAAAGGGACATGAAAAATCACAGGAAAATTTGCTATTACAATCTGTACTGATTTCAATGACAATTGATTTTAGAGAAAGCATTTAGTTTACTTTGACATTGCCTCCCATTGTGTTCTTGCCTGTTTAGTGATATAATGAATCAAATTTTTAAATTGGAGACAGAATCATCATATCTAGTATAATAGCATTTTATGTCCAGTGTCATCTTGAAAGAACTATGCATTTCCTTCCTTTTTCTCCCTTTCTAACATCTTTAATTAGCAACGTCATAAATTTAATAAGACTAGTTTGACTCCAAAGGTAAAAATCTCAAAAGCAGACATATTTAAACATTTTTTGAGAGCCAAAAGATCCATGTACTAAATCAATACACACAGTTTTGAATAAGAACATCAGAAATGAAGTTTACTGGTAAAAAAGGAGAGAGCATGATACTTTGAATGAAGGAATTTTTAATGGCAAGATAAGTGTGGAACATATGTTAATTTTGGATAACCAGAACTTGAATAATTGAATTTAATTCTGTTTGCTTTTTTCCCTAATCATCCGACTCCTAGGACAGCTACTGTTACACAATTAATTGTAAGAACTAAGTCCACAATAAACTCCCTGATAATAGGTCTAGCTGGTAATAAAACAGAAATTGGGTTATAATACGTACTCACTTGTGCTCACTGTGTATACAAAAAGAAAATGTAGTTTTAATTTGCTTACATTAATTAAAATATAATGAATTTAGTGGGTAACAAATTCATTAGAAATTGAACTTTGACTGTCTAATTGTTAATAGTTTTAACATTATTCAGACAAAGGAAAATATTAACAAGTCAAGAAATTCAAGGATTGAGGAGTTAAAATATTGTTTCTTATAAACACACATAAATCAAGCACCAACAAATTTATGCCTTACTAAAACAAGTTAAAATGTTAATGAAGCTAATATCCTAATATATATGTGAAGCACAGCTACTTAAAAATACATTTTTACCCATGGTCCTCTGAAAATATTTGCATAATTCAACCAGAAACTAAAGTATTAAAAGGATTCAGGGTTTAGGTAGAGCTGTGATTCTAAAGGACAGAAATGGGGAAAAGCA